GGATAGACAAAGAGTTCATAGACGGCCTCCTTGGCCGTGACAGGACAGAAACTATGTGCTAAGACTGGTTAATTTATGTTTAGTGGAAGTAGAAATTTAGCTTAATTCATAAATTTTGAAAATTCATATGTGAATACAATAGTATGCATAAACACAAAATATTTTTAACTGTTTTTTGTTTTTTTTAAATAAAAAACATCTACGTTAACACTTTTATGAAAATAAATTTGACCACAGATTCTCCTTTTTAAAGAAGAATAACTTTTAATGTCTAAATTGAGTCCTGATGTCCTCTAGAAACTAAAATAAAATAAACAATAAAATGATTACAATATTTGTCATGTATCTTATGTTTCAAACATAACATAATTTAAGCTTTTTGATATTCTTGCTCGGCGCAACAGAGTTTGCAGACTTTAACATTGTTCTTACAATCTGACATGGTAAAACTAAAACTGTTGCCCAAAACGTGAACACAGCCTTGTCTGGGCCTGCACAAATTGTCTTAAGAACATCATTTAAAATTGAAAGCTGATCTGAGTCAACCGGAAATGAGTTAGCACACTTGTTTTATGGAGAGTATAGTGATGTTGAATTTAGTGGTTAGTCAGGAAATGTGTTGACAAAAAACTAATCATGCTGCAGCGTGCCCAACTGTGATGAGTCACAGCTCATTTCATTCAACATTACAGAAAAATGAGCCTCGGTAGGGTAAAATATTTTAGTCAGCTTTCAGTCACTAACCACATTCTCTTTTTGTCCTCTTTCTTTTATTTTAGGAATAAGCATTTTGCATATGTTGCCATACTTGTCCGAGTCTGAAGGAAAGGATTCGGTGCAGCTTAAAGTACCTGCATCAATATTCATTTATTCCCCATACATTCTTATGGGTTGGTTACTTCTTCTTGTATTAGGTAAAATTATGTAATTTGCCTTAAAAAAACGTACAAACATCTGCATTTCATTGTATTTGAAACAAAATATCAGACTAATCAAACCTTTTTGCAATATCAAGATTTTTCCAGTTACTTTTAACAAACTGTAACCACAAATGTAGTTTATCACATTAATTATGAACATGCTCCACTAATCTTTAACTAGAAAATGTCAAAGTACTAAGATAACCAAATATGGTGGTATTTTTGTTATGTAATGCAGTGACATTCATACATTCTAGTGTGGCTTCAGTATCTAAATACTTTTATGGCCACTTTTTTTTTGTACATTTGCTCATTATTTAACAACTGCATGCATAAAGTCATTTAAATTTTCATGAAGTCACGAGTGGTTCAGCTGATTGTCTTCATCTCACTGTTTTGAAGGATCCAGTTTAACAGTACTACTCTTGCTGAAGGAAAGGAAGGAGGATCTTGAGAGCTGGAATAAGAAACTGAAGAAAGACTAACCAGAGAAATTATCAGTACAGGTTCTCCTATTCACCAGTGCCAAACATTTTAACCTTAGGAGTATTAATTGGAGGCGGAGTGGCTTGTTGAACTCCGCCCTGTGTCGAAACACAATTATGTTTGTTTGTTAAGTGTTACAATTGTAAGTATTTACAGTTTTTCTGAATTGCTAATACACATTTCTTAAAACCATCACTCTTTTTCTCAAAACCTTAAAACATATCCAAACCTTCAAACTAAATTCACAGAACCCCTGACTCTTCTGGCAAAATCAATCGCTTCAAAACCATTTCACCTGTACTCAAAATCAAACAAAGCTTTCAAATCATACACACATTAGTCAATAATATACACACTACAGATCATTCAATAGACAATACATCAAAAAATGGAGAACACAGTGTCCAGTGCATGTAGTTACAAAACCTGTTTATTTTATTTAGTATATATTTTGCAATAACACACACACACACACAACAAAAGAAATACCTAAGTTTGGTGAATATATTTCTGTCATGACAACTCTCGGAGCGATTGGCATGGTAAAGTACATGACAATGTTAATGTATTTGGTCTTGGCGGAATAGATCTGCTACGCTGCTGCTGCTGCGGCAGAGCGAGTACCGATACTTGCTACTGCCAATACATCCACAACATGCTGCTGTGAGCATGTAAGAAATATTGCTGCTGCAAATATAACATACATGAAATAACCTATAGTGTACATGAATCACCTCGTAGCAGATTTATACAGGTGGAGCTGGGGAAGGTGGAGGGTTTCTGAAGCAAACTAGTGTTGGGTTGTTCTTGAACGATTCGTTCATTTTGAACGAATCTTTAATGTGACTCGGGAAGAACGAGTCGTCTCCGGGAGTGATTCGTTCAGTCACGCATGCGCAACATCCTATAGGTTCTGTACTGGAATTAGTCAAGTAGTTCACCTGTTTCGAGTCTTCGGGTTTTTTGAGTCATTCGTTCATCACGTGACAGA